ATATATATATATATATATATATATATATATATATATATATATATATATATATATATATATATATATATATATATATATATATATATATATATATATAATATTTATTTCTAAAATAAAAAAAAACAAAAAAAAACACGTAGTATAGGGTCGGCATTTGGATGGCCGAACCCCAACTATACAAAATTGACCTTCAATAGGTCGTCCTTTGAATGGACGAACCCAAAATAAAATATCGACATTTCTGCATTTTTTTTCTTCTAGAATGTGGCAGTTTAGTATTTTCCCTTTCAAATTGTGGCATGTGTGTAAAAAACTGCAAGTCTATTCATTAAGTAAAAAACAAAATAGGCTGAATATTCCCTCTGAATCATGTGGGAAAATTCTGTCTCCAACTCCTCGAATTATACCTCTAATTCCACTAATTGTTTGAAATACCTAAATTATCCTTCATTTGTTTTAAGTATCGAACTCAATTTTTTTCTATTTTTTCTTTATATTAGAAGTGTATATAGGAACTCATGTTGTGACAACAAGGTCCTAGCAAATTAGTCAATCACTAGTTGATATGAGGGATTTTCTTTTCCCACATCTCTTGATTCTTTTCTGAAATGTTTAGAATTAATAAAAATATATTTTTGGTTTTAGAAATCAAACACTTCAAATAATCTTTCAGATGCTAAATGTTGAAAAAATCTTAAAGCATCTCCAACAAAATTTTATATATATATATATATATATATATATATATATATATATATATATATATATATATATATATATATATATATATATATATATATATATATATATATATATATATATATATATATATATATATATATATATATATATATATATATATATATATATATATATATATATATATATATATATATATTGATTTTATATTGATTTATAAGTTTTAGAACTTAACATTTTTAGTATTGTATTAGGGATATGTGATGTTCTCATTATTTAAAATTTTGTGTAAGATTATCTCCAATAGGGTTGTTTAATGTATATATAAATTTTAAGTTTTGAAACTTAGCATTTTTATCATTGAAGTAGATATACTTAACGTTTTTATTTTTTAAATTTATTTGTGAGTTAAATATTGTTTATCATTAAATAATATTAATCTTGATCATTGGTGATGTCAAATATAAATTGATTGAGTCACATAGATTGTTTATTGAAATCTTCATTAAAGTAAAATTAATTTAGATTGCTTAGATGTTGTTAAAATGTAATGTGACAATTGGTTTCCCACAAAATAGCTCAAACAATAAAAAATTAGTTATTTGTGAGATGCCAAAAGTCTTAGACTTTGGGGGCATGACAAGCCATAAGAATTGGTTATTAATTAGGTGTGTCAGATGTCTTGGACTTTGGTGGATGACAAGCCAACAAAATTGTGGTTTTTTCACTGTTCTACTTCCATTTGAAAAAAAAATATATCATAATATCCTATTTTCAAAATTATTTACGGGAGTACCCCTTTTCTATAGAAGCTCGTCCATTCAGTGGACGAGAGAGTGCAGATAAATTTTTTTGGAGTTAAAGCTCGTCCAACCAATGAGCGAACATGTAAAAATCAGATTGGACTTTTTGAGCTCGTCCAATGGTTGGACGAGCGTTTGAAAAGCAGATTGAAATTTTTTATTTTTATTTTTTATTCAGATTTTAATTATTTAAAATTTTTTATTAATATAATTTTAATACATTACATAAATTATATAATTAATATAATTAAATATCGTAAATAAATACCAGATTTTAAGTAATATAATTAATCAATCATTAATTAATTATTTTTATAACATAATAAGGTTTAAATAATTGAATGATTTTATTTACAATACTACTCTCAATTTAAAGTATATTATGTTCCCAATTACTTTTCATTTGTATTAGTTCTGTCATTTATATATACTACTAATATATTTAAAATAATGTTAGCTCTGTCATTTACATTATATAAATTATATAATTAATATAATTAAATACCATAAATAAATACCAGATTTTAATAAAAAATTCCAATCGGCTTTTCACACGCTCCTCCAACTAGGGATGGCAAAAAAAGTCCGTGCCCGCGGGTATCCGCGGATATAATCCGTCACGGATACAATGTGGATAGCTTAATGGATATCCATGGATAAAATAAATGGATATTTAAATATCCGTTATTTAATGGATGTGGATGCGGGTTTAATGATACTCGTACCCGCAGATATCCATATCCGTTAATAAATTATAAAAAGTATTTAAATATTTTTAATTTATTATAGACGTCATTATTATGTTTTATTTTGAATTTTAAGCAAGGAATGCATAATATGGAATTTTGTAATGATTGATGAAAACTATTTGCATTATTACTTTTTGTTTTATTTAACAATTATTATATGGTATGATGAATTTTATTTTGTTAAAAATGAAATGTATGGATATTATGTTTGAATGTTATTATGTTTTAGTGAAAAAAGAATGAAAATAATATGATGAAGTTTAGTTGTTAAATTGAGAGCGAAAAAATATATTTTTAAAACATAATTTTAGACAAAAAAAGTTATTCATGGATATCTGTAAATATCCGCGGATACCTTAAAACCCGTGGATTACCCGCTTAACTGATATCCGCATGGATATGGGGCAGATACGGATATCATATTTATCCAACGGGGCAGACACGGATATCATATTATCCGCCCCCATGGATATCCATTTACATCCCTACGTCCAACCATTGGACGAGCTCACAAAGTTCAATCTGCTTTTCACAGGTTCGCCCATTGGTTGGACGAGCTTCAACTCCAAAAATTTTATCTGCACCCTCTCGTCCACTGAATGGACGAGCTCCTATAGAAAAGGGGTACTACCGTAAATAATTTTTAAAATAGGGTATTATGGTATTTTTTTCTTCAAATGGGGGTAGAAAAGTGAAAAAACCCAAAATTATTTCCATTGTTATTATTAAAATATTATATGAATTAGCTGTGTACCTATCACCATAATAGTGAATTGTTATCAAAATTTTTAAAATATCATTCTTTAATATTAATCACAAATAAAAGTTCTTCAAGGCAGTTAAGGGGAAGAACATCTTGTCTTGGTTTATCACTTTGATGTTTAATACAAAAGACTCGGTTATCATTATATGTAATACTATAAGATTGTTAAAAAATTAATTATAAATTAAAAGGATCGAGGCTAGAACCGTAAACGAATCACTTTTCTTATAGTATTTCAAGTACTATTAAAATGTCTTAGAGTAAACGCGGAAGAATACCCTAGGATAATTCAACATATTTCGAGTTTGCATAAGGCTGATGAAAACTCAAATGTAGAGAAGATGAAATTTGAAATTTGTAGTGAATAGGATGTAATTCTATGTGTTTTTCTAAATTCGTAATTATGAATTTATAAGTCAACTAGTGTTGTTTAATAAGGTTGCGACCATTGATGAAGCACAATCTTTTAGCAATAGATTTCTACTGAGTATTGCAACTTTTTGCCTATTAAAACACTTTTAAATTGTTACCTATTTCAATTTTTATTACAACACTTCATGAACCGTTGCCTATTTCTGAATTCAAAAAACAAATAGCATACGACAACATTTCACAAAACATTGTCTATTTCTAAATTCAAAAAATAAATTGCCTACTGCAACACTTCACAAGCGTTGCCTATTTCTGAATTCAAAAATCAAAATACATATTTACATAATTTTTTTTTATCATTTTAAAACACACTCATAGTAATTAATTATTATTATTATTATTAATCATAATATTACTTTACTCTCTTTAATAGATATTTAGTATTACTAGATAAAACTAATTTTTAAAAACTTCAATTCCTTTAATGTTGATGTTTAATATCAATGGGTAGGTTTTCAAAGACTTCAATTTTTTATTTTTTTATTTTGAGGTTGATTATTTAAATTTCTTTGCTCTAAACAATATAACCTTTTTTTAACTTTTTTTTTTATAACCTTCAATATTTTTCTTCTTTGATGATACTCATAATTATTTTACTTTGCTCAATTATCATTATCAAATCCACAATTCGAATTTACAAATCCATGCACAATACATATAACCCCAAAATTGACAATTCTACATATTATTATATTGCATCAACAGTTTAGTGCGATTTAAATCCTCCCAACCTCTTTAATTCAAATCTAATTTCTTAGCCAAAATGCTTTAAAAGATACATCCTTATTAGAATCATAAAAGTTTTATCTCATACCTCTAATTTTATTCTTTTAATCCTCCAAGTATTTTCAACGTTTTAAAATACCCTTAATTATAATAAATAAATTTACACAATCAATTGATTAAAACAAATAGATATTTAAAAGCATTTAATTTTTATCATAACAACATTAAAACTCACACGTGAATATTTTTAATGTGGTGGTAAAGTAAATTTTTTACATCGATAGTATGTAACAAATGAAACTCTATTTTTATTTTTAAAAAAGAAAACAAAAAGCCTATTTTATATTTTTTGGATAATATTGACAAATTTAATTATCTTAACACATTTTTAATAGAAATTTGATCTTCCAAATAGTTATTTCTTTTTGAATTCTTTTGGTTAAGTGTGACCTCTCCAATTTTTAATTTTTATTTCCTTTTTAATAATATTTAAGAGTATATTGTAGGTGATTGTTGGAGATCTGATTTGTCAATATAATATGGTTCGTTGACCTGCAATAACCATATAGCTGAAATTAGAAATCAATCAATGATCAAACTTTTTTTCCTCACGAGAAATTCATGCTAAAACATACCAAAACACACAAGTTGTTAGAGAAAAACAATCTTCCAATCAAATCCTAAGTGTCATCTCCAACTTCATCTCTTTTAATGTAATTTTTAATCTCTCATTCTCCCCACCCACCAACCTTTCCTCCAAAAGCTCTACCCTTTTATGGGAAAAGTTGGGATAAGGGGGACACACCCAAAAACATCACCACAACTATAATGAGTCTCAATTGCCTTACCTGTGGCCATATCCTTAAAAGAGATAACTCCGATAGAGAGAATAATTTTCTTGAAATAGAAAAATCTTATACTAAAAAAACAAGATTATATGTTGATAGAAGTTGGTCAGGGAATATAGCTCCACCGCAATCCAAAGGTGGCGGTGGTGGTGTCGTGGTGGATAACACTAAACCGGAATTCCGCCGGGCCAATAGTGCGGGAAATGTTGGACCAAGATTGTTAAGGAGCAGTGGAATGAGAAGAGATTGGCGTTTGGAAGAGTTGATTGGACAACAAGAAAATGGAGTTAGATGTAATGGATAATACAATGCTATTAATGCTAAATCCGATCGTCAAATTTCAATGAATCACATATGCTGTATATTGTACAGACTAATTTTAAAAAGAAACATAATTAACAATTATAATATATTTTTCTTTTGCAAGTCAACAATATTAGAGAATATTTCAGCTTTATTTTCTATTGTCTTTTTCTTGCATTATGTATATATTGGATTTTTGGCGGCAAAGTGTGTATGTGTAAAGAGGGGATTGTGAGAGTGTAGAGTATAGTAAATGGTGTTTCTAGTGCAACCAAATTATGTAAAACACTTTTTTTTGCACCATAGTAATTGAAATCCCTTTTTTTGTTTGATGATTCTTTCTTCTGTTTTGTGGTTATTGATATTTATGGTCATATTTAATTTAATTTAATTGTTCGAAACACTAGTAACATAAATGAGGAAAAGTAACCTAAGAACATTTACATAGTAAAATAATTGTCAAAAACCAAATTAGATCGTCTTGTAATACTAGGTATGTGTTGATGTCACATGATTTTTTTTTAAATTGGCAAATTGAATATCTATCTATAATATCAATATAAGAAAATTAGATCTTGGGTAAGATATTTTTACTTTTACTTTTAGTTCTGTCATTTGAGAAAATGAGGATATTTTGGCAAAAAAAATTTTTTTTTTCAACCAAACTAACATAAGTGGCCAATTTGAATGATAATTTTACTATTTTGTTTCTCTTTACACACCTTTTTAAAAGGTTTCTCTTCGATTGATTAAATTCTAACCAAATCTTTATAATATTTTTTTCTTTTTCTTTTTTCCTAATGTCTTAACTCTTTTTCATAACTTTATCGTCATCTCTCTCTCTCTCTCTCACTCTCTCTCTCACACTCTCTCTCTCTCTCTCTCTCTCTCTCTCTCTCTCTCTCTCTCTCTCTCTCTCTCTCTCACACACACACACACACACACACACACACACACACACACACACACACACACACATCTTCCTTCCTCTTCTTCTTCCTTCTTTCTCTTCTTCTTCTTCTTCCTTCTTCACTTTCTTCTTCCTTTTTCCTCTTCTTCTTCCTTCTTTCTCTTCTTCTTCTTCTTCCTTCTTCACTTTCTTCTTCCTTTTTCCTCTTTTTCTTATTGAAATCAAATTGAAACAAGCTATGGTCATTGCCATCGGTTTACAAATTTTAATGATAGTTGCAAGGATCTTCCAAAAACAAATCAATATCGACTATCAATAATATCGCTTACGAAGCCTTAGCTGATGCCAAAAAAGTAATCGAAGTCAACCTACAGGTGCCGCTTCGTATATTCTCAAAGTTACGGTTCTAAATCTTGAAGGCTTTACAACTTTCGCTCTTGAATTAGTTGATGTGCCGTTGGGGATTTCTCGCAGGTGGTTCTCTTGCTGAGGAAGAACGTATGCATTGTTTAAAAAGCTGATTTGAAAATCACGATGAGTGAATGCGAACGACTTGACTCGACACTTACAGATTTGACTAAGTCAGTGATTTTGAGTCCTAAGAACGCGAAAGCTTGATGTGCATTACGAAATAAGCTAGTAGTAGTTCTTTTAGAATTTAGTGGTTCCAATCCATTTTAGATTATTTTTTAATGTTCATACTTTATGTTTATCATTAATGGTGTTTTTTTTTTGTGATTTAGGTTTAGGTGTTTTGTGTTTTAACATAGAGTGGGTTGTCGGCAACAAGTTTAAGATTGGTCGTAAAATCGAAAGCAGTTCATTTCGTAAAATTTTCATTGGTAATGAACTTTTTCATTTGTTTATTTATTCATATTTTATTGATATGTATTGTTTTAAGTATATGTTGGTTATGATTTTATTGATTTTTAATGCTTTTTTTAGCATAAGATATGGAAAACTCTAAGGATTGTAGCCGCCATAATAGTTTTTTTCTTTCTAAAGGTTAGTTCTTTGATAATCTTCTTCTCATTATGTTTGTTTCAATCTTTGATTTTTTCATGTATTGGATTCATTTTGTTTAACCTAAAGCATTAAACATGGCAACTACTTTTCGTTTTTAACTTAATTTTCAATCTGGATCTTACTAATTTCACAGTGTGTAGATAAGGAAGCAATTTTTGTTTGTTGATATTTGTGATATTATTAAGGGTTGAAGTTTTCTATAGTGAGCTATTTTTCTTTGGAGAAAATAAGATACCTATTTTTTGGAGCAAATCAGATACCTTTGGTACATTTTTTATTTTGGGTTCCAGTTTTGGGGTCGAATTTATTCTTCTTCGGTTGCTTCATCACCAGTTGTTCATAGTTTGTATTATTCGGTTGAGTTGACTAGATTCAGATGTTATTTATCTGATTAGCTTTTCAAGTCTAGGGTGTAAGAACAAGATTTGTTGTGCATCTGGCCTTTAGCTTTGATGATAATAATACATTGTTTCTTAGAGAACAATTTTGTACCCTAATGGCTTTGTCTAGTGTGTAGCTTTTGCTAACAGATTCTGACTCTGAAGATTTGGCGTGTGACTTCATCAAACTCTGGACTCAACACACTTTGACTCTGAAGAGATACAATGTGCGCTTCAATGTTACATCAGTTCTGAAAAGCTCTAAGACAATGATTCTGATGAACGTTTGTTCTAAAGCTTCTGATTGTGACTATGATAGAAGAGCTTTTGAAGATCTGTCAAAGCTCTCAAGATTCTTAAGAACAAGCTCTGAAGACTCTGAAGGCTAGGTTCTTGATAACGCGAAATCGTATATAAATATTGACATACATTTTTACTAATCAGTGACTGGTTTCACTCTGATTTCGGGTATTTCCACATTATTCGTCCAGTATTTTGCAGGTATTCAAAGTTCATGCTCAAATGGAGCAAGATGAAGAAAACAAGCAATTACAGATGAAAACCAGATGAAAACCAAGCCAAAAACAGCAAATACGAATTTTGTTGATGTGACGACTGTCACAAGCCTATGACGACCGTCATACGTGTTACGACCGTCACACATCCATGACGACCGTCATGCTTTAAACAGTGCAGAAATGTTGCACGTGCTGTGAGTGCTTTCAAATACCAAAAGGAGTGGACCACTAACTCCTACATTTTCTGAGATCAATCCCACTTCCTGAAGAAATTAACCGTTGGAAATTCCATCTATAAAAGGAGGGAGCTGGTACCAGAAAAGGGGAGCTGCATTGAAGACACGAAGTGCTGCCAGTTTACTTTCAGAGCAATTTTGAGTTTCCTAATTTCTTATCGTTTATTATTTCCTTTTTCCTTCTTTCCTTGCAATTGTTGTTTTACTTTCCAAATTCTATTCTGTACGAGTAATTGGAACAAAGACTAAATCCTGCCGTCATTTTGGAGGATTTCCCAAAAGCCAATCGAATTATTTACAGGTTCTTATTATAATCGTTAATTGATTTCTATTTCCCATTATAATGCATATTTATATTTTCTGCCATTGTTTACGTGTTCTTAATTTATATTCCATGTCTGGCTAAATTTAAGTAATCGGTATGTAATAAGTAGTCAGATGGGATTCGATAATTAACCGGTGTATACTTTCCTTTTCAAACTTATTTATGGCTTCAGTTTTTAAATCGATTTGTCTAAAATAAATGTTCGTCGCGACAGCGAGAACTTATTTAAAAGCAGTTTTGCCACGACAGTGGGAAATTCATAAAGGTACGAACCAACAAGCGACAACTGAGGTTAGGTCCAGATAGTAAAAACTAAGCATCCGTTTTAAAAACAACGACAACACTTTAAAAAGGATTAGAGCTTAATGGTTTTCAAAAAGTAATTTTAACCGCGAACGGGATAGCGACAGCATATGTTTCGCCTTAGAGTTGCGACTAGCGTCAATAACCATAGTGAGACAAAGGTCTTTAAACCGTCATTTTCTTCTTAAACTATTTTTGAAAACACCAAAAACACCGGTAACTTGTCGAATCCTTGAAGAACCAACATTTTGCATACCGATTTGAGCATTTATACCTTAAGTAACACTTTAGTTCCCCTATAGTTTACACACTTATTTTGCTTTTATTCCCCTAAAACCATACTAACCTAGCTAAACACAGTAACACCCGAAAATACTAGCTTGATTACGAGTCCCTGTGGGATCAATATCTTTTATTACTACGCGATAGACTGTGCACTTGCAGTTAGTTCAGTTAGACATAGAAAGTCGCGATCAAGTTTTTGGCTCCGTTGCCGGGGACCCGTTTAGTCAATAGTATAATCCTTTGTTACACAGTATAGACTAGGTTAACTATTCTCTCTCCCTATACTCGTTCTTCGGTTGTATGCCAAGTACTCGCTCACAAGGCGACATCTTACAACCTACAATCGCCGAACTAGAGCGCTTCTTAGATTTAAGAAGGCGCATCCTCGAATATCAACGAAAACATAATATTCCTGATCTTCTAGCTCATCCTCCTGTGTAAGAATCAAAGATGGCTGACGGACCTCAGAACAAACCGCTGAAGGACTACACTATCCCCTCTCAGCTGGAACCTCGAAGTAGCATTGTTGCCCTAGCTATTAATCGGAACGATTTCAAACTGAAATCGTCATTGCTGTCAGCTGTAAAACAACATCAATTCTCAGGAAATGCAACTGAGGATCCGAATGAACACTTAGCGAAGTTTGTGCAATACACAGACACAGCGAAGGCAAATGGAGTAACTCCAGACGCAATAAGACTTCGTCTCTTTCCTTTCTCTCTTAGAGATAGAGCTTGGACATGGTTACAATCCTTACCATCCAACTCCGTTACGACGTGGGAACAGTTGAAGAACGTTTTCTTAGCAAGATACTTTCTGCCAAGCAAAACTGCTATGCTTAGAGCTCAAATCAACAAAGTTCGACAAAAAGATACTGAATCTCTCTATGAAGCGTGGGAAAGGTTCAAGGATATGATGAGAGCATGTCCTCACCACGGTTTAGAAGACTGGGTGACGATCCATACTTTCTACAATGGGCTTTTATATAACACCAGATTAACGGTAGATGCCGCCGCAG